TGTGGTGGCTTTATGGGTTGAGCCATCCGTGTAAACTCTGATCCACTGATTGCTAGGATAATTGGTATGTAGAAAACAGTTCACTATTTTCTTGAGCTCTGTTGGTCTGTAATCAGATTTTCTTTTTATGCTTTCAATATGGTCCCTTATAGTAGGAAGAGGGCTTTCGTCCCAGGGTGGAGATTCATTATAGTGTATCGAGGATTCCAGGGTAATTTTTTCAAGTTGGTGTTTCTTTTTTAGGCTTAGAGATTCCTGTATGAAATTGGTCCTTTTGAGACGTTTTTTGGTGCCAGTTTTGTGGATTTTGGTTCTGAGTGGGTGCCTCTCCATGGTTTCCAATTTAGTGAATTTGGAAAGGATTTTTATTTCTCTTCTTTCATCCAGAGAAATCAGGGCAGCGGTTTCCTCCATAGCTCATATGGGTGTTGTTTTGATTGCTCCTGTCATTATCCTTAGACCAATATTTTGAACCTTGTCTATTTTTCTTAGGTTGGTTTGGGCTGCTGAGCCCCATGCTGTGGCAGCATATTCTAGTACAGGTCTCACGTAACTGTTATAGGTCTTTTTCAGGATGTTGTGATTTGCTCCCCAATCTGTGCCAGCTAATTATTTCAAGAGGGATAGTCTCTGGATGCCTTTACTCCGTGTTTTATCTATTTGGCTTTTCCAGGTTAGTCTCGGGTCATAGGTGACTCCAAGGTATGTAGGGCTGTCATTTTTTTCTAAAGCTTCTTATCTAATGTTAATTTTATTGTTTGTTGTTTTGTTGACAGTGAGAATATGGTATATATGGTCTTTTTTGTGTTGATGGACATGCCCCAGTCTTTGGACCAATTATTGAGTATATCGAGAGCATCTTGTAATCGAAATTTCGATGTTCCTACATATTCTTCTGTGCTAATTAAGGCAAGGTCATCTGCATACATGCTGCTTTTAACTTTTCTTGGTAGGTTTTGATTTAGATCGTTTATGAATATTAGGAAAAGTGTTGGGGATAGGACTCCTCCTTGGGAGACACCATTTTTTATACCCACTGTGTGGCTTCTTTGTCCTTGCATGCAAACTAAGGCTTTTCTATTATTTAGATATTCCTTTATCCAGTTGTACATTCTGTGGGATATGTGATGCTGGATTAGTTTGAGCAAGAGACTTTGTTCCCAGACTTTGTCAAATGCTTTTTCTAAGTCAACCCTCACAATTGTTGTTGGTTTCTTTTCTTGAAAGTCATCTTCTATTTCTTGTGTGATAAAGGCGATTTGATCTTCTGTTGATCTGCCTTTTCTAAAGCCAGCCTGGGCTTCAGTGAGTAGGTTATTTGACTCAAGGATCCATGTCAGCCTTCTATTTATCACTCTTTCCATCAGTTTGCAGGAACAGCTAGTGAGACTGATGGGGCAGTAGCTATCCAGTTTGTTTCTTGGTTTGCCGTGCTTTAGTATAGGGATCATAATGGCTTTTTTCCAGATGTTTGGAATTCTGCCAGATTTCCAGCTAGCATTGAATATTTGTAGCAGTTTTCTTTTGGCTTGAGGACCCAAATGAAGAAGCATGTCATTAGATATTTTGTCTGGGCCCAGGGCTTGTTTTGGTTTGAGGACTTTTAGGGATTCATCAAGTTCCTTCATTTTAAGATTAGTGGTCATTCCCAAGGAGTAAGCTGTATTTTTTTTTTTTAAATTCTATCTTGGATTTCTGAGTTTACATCTTTATTTCTACTTTCACTGATTTGTATTTTTCCAACGCTTTGGAAAAACTTAATGAATTCATTTGCTGCTTCTTGGCCTTTCAGGGGTATGTTGTCCTTTTCTATTACTATAGGAGTTGTTCTATTTTCTTCCTGGTTGAGACATTAGGCTATACACCAGAGTTTGTGGCCGTCTCTATCTACGTTTAGCCGTTCTGTTTTTTCATGCCAACTTTTCCTCATGGCGGGATTTCCTGAAAACTGCGTTAGCTGCTTTTAGATTTATTTTATTTTCTGTACAAGGGTTATTTTCTACTGTGTTTCTGGCTTCAATGGTGGCATTGTGGAGTTGTTGAAGGTGATCAGACCAGTTGGGAATATAATCTTTTCTTGCTCCTCTAGGAATTGATTCCTTAGCTGCTAGGAGGATTGCTTTGGAGAAAGCTGAGTATGACTTATTAACCTGAAACTTGAAAGTGAGTGTTTGTGCACTGTTGTTTTTTTGTTTTTTTTTGGGGGGGGGGGGGGCAGGGTAAGATGGCTTGTTATAAAATAAATTGTAAATAAGGTGCCAATTTATCAAGATCTATGACTGACTCAATGAAAATAAACATGTAAAGAGTGGACTAAATTGCAAATACTGATGTTTCTTCTTTCAAACTTTTCTGCGGGACAGGGTGTTTCACTTGATAATATTGTGTATATATAAATATGGGGGGGGGGGGGGGCATTATAAGACATGGAAATGGAAGGTTACAACTTTTGTGCATCCTCCATAATAGGGAGTTGTGGGCACTTGTATTGAAGGTTGAAAGAAAACAAAAATAAAGGGACCAGAGCAGTTTATTGATGGATTTAAAAGTGTTGAAGGTGATATACTATACACATATACCAACCATTTCAAGAGTAGTGCAGGTACAGGTATAGTTATGTGCTTTTAGAATTCATCAACAGCTGTTTTATTAGAAGATACACTGTGTATATTCTAAATAATATATATATATATATATATATATATATATATATATATATATATATATATATATATGCCTTTTTAGATCCAGATCGATTACTGACAAAATAAAAATAAATATATAAAGTGTGGACTATAATGTTGCGAATAGTGATGTTTTTTCTTTTAAACTGTTTTGTTTGAAAGGGTGTTTCATGTGAAAATATTGTGTGTATATGTAGGGGGCATTATAGTGCAGTGAGATGAAAGGCCACAATTTCATTTGGGCAAAATAAACATATTATTAGCTAGTGCATGTGTATTTTTTTTCTTACATACATACATTTTTAGATGTTAACTATTTCCTTTCATTTTCCTTTCACAGGAGCAAATAAATTGTAGTTAGTTGCTTATTCACTAAGTTATATTGATGCTATATTAAAGACCTTTATGTTTTGTCTAGTGTCATAAAAATACTGGAAAATATCTATGTTTAATAACATTAAAAATTAAAATTCTGTTAATAAAGACTCTTAAATAATTGATATTAAATATGGATGACATGGAACAAAACTTGAGTGAACGCAGGAATGTCATAAAAATTGAAAAGATAGATTGGTCAGATACTTCAGAAAACAGCTTTACTGGTCAAACTTATGAATTAACATTAGCAGAAGAGACACAGGTAAGTTCAATTTTTACATACCGGTATAGGGAGAAAAACTAACGTAAACTATTTTTATTAAATATATTTTTAAAAATATAGAACTAAAAAAAAAATGTGTGCCCAATTTATGACACTTTTTTATTCTGTTGACTAATGTGTTCGTATATGAGACGAACTTATGAGATATATATACCTAATTTTTTTTTTAAATCACTCTGTCACTTAAAAATGTAATGCCCCTAATATCTTTAATGAATATCATTCAAGATTTTAAGGTAGAAAACACATTCTATTTCTGAAGGCATCTGAAGAACAAATTCATTCAACATCAATAATGGATGACATTGGACAAGACTTAACCAATGATCTCAAAAATGTTATAAAAATTGAGAAGACAGAATCGTTAGATTCAGAGACACAAGAAATGTCCTCCAGTGGTCATACTTTTGAAGAAGAAGAGACAAAGGTAAGACAGTTGTAATGTGATACTTAGAAATATTTTTTTTTTACATTGAAATGAGAACAATGTGTACCCTATATAAATAAGTTGATTTTTTTTCTTTAGTTGAATAGTACCTATTTCTTTCATGTGACACATAACACATAAAATAGTAATAAACTACTTTCTAGGATATTTTTTTCATATTACAGTTGGATAAGAGCCACATATTTTGCTTTAGATTATCAACATAGTCATGTGGACCACTGTACTCTTCCTTAATCTTTGGAATCAAATACTTTGCCATTATCATTATCAACAAATAATAATTTAGAACAAAGTAAAGCTCTGAAAGTTTAAGTCTAGTGTAGTATGTGTTCATGTATTTCAGAACATCTACTAATCATTGGGCGGCTAAGCGGTAAAGCGCTTGGCTTCTGAAATGGGGTCCCTGGTTCAAATACTGGTGATAACTGGGATTTTTTATTTTGGGATCTTTGGGGGCCTCTGAGTCCAGCCAGCTCTAATGGGTACCAGACATTAGTTGGGGAAAAGTAAAGGCGATTGGTCGTTGTGATGGCCACATGACACCCTCGTTAATCATTGGCCACAAAAACAGATGACCTTTACATCATCTACCCTAAAGAGCACAAGGAACGAATGAGTTTTTGTCTCACTTGGTTCTAGACTTGATAGACAGAAGTCACCCACTTCGCGATGACTTGACGTAGTTATGATGGAGCATGTGGCTGTTGTCTTCCAAGATTTTTCTTTTTTTCTGAGACATTTTTGTTCATAAAATTCATACAACTATAGTATTAGATAAAATTATTAATATTTTGTTTATTTATTTTGTCTTGCAGAAAATAATGGTGAACCAGAATCAAGAAATGATTTTAAACCAAGATGTGTATGCTACAAATACTCCCAACAAAGATGAAAATGATGTAAACTTAAAAGATGGAAACAATTTTCCTTACAGCAAAAGAACCCAAAATAAGAAAAAATCTCATATAGGTACACAAACATTGTCTACTTCATCAAAAGTAAAAAATAAGCGAGTGATTCGCTCAAGTAAAAAGTCACTACAGTGTAAAATTTGTCAGAAAGTGTTCTCACGACCCTTTAACTTAAAAAGTCATGAAAAAATACATTCTGGTCAAAAGCCATTTCAATGTAAAGTTTGTCACAAAGAATTCATTCAGTCCACTCACTTTAAAAATCATGAGCTAACACATTCAGATATAAAACCATTTAAATGTAAAATTTGTCAGAAAGAGTTTGCTTACTCTTCTAGCTTAAAATGGCATGAGAAAAGACATGATGGCATAAAATATGCATGTAAAATTTGTCACAGAGAATTCAATGACCCCTCTAATTTAATAACTCATAATAAAAAACATACTGGTAATATGCCATTTAAATGTAAAATTTGTCTGAAAGAGTTTTATCGGTCCCATCACTTGGAAAAACATGAGTTAATTCATTCTGGTATAAAGCCATTTAAATGTAAAATTTGTCAGAAAGAATTCACTGAGTCCTCTAACTTAAAACACCATGAGCTAATACATTCTGGTGAAAAGCCATTTAAATGTGAAATTTGTCAGAAAAAATTCAATCGGCTTGGTAACTTAAAATCCCATGAGCTATTACATACTGGTGAAAGGCCATTTAAATGTCAAATTTGTCAAGGTGATTTTACTCGGCTTGCCCACTTAAAACGACATGAAAAAATACATTCAGTAAAAAACAACTATTAAGTGTGACATGTCCAAAACATTTGTTCACTAAACCATTTTTAGAATACCTTCTTTTCGCCATAAACCTTTTTAAATATCACGTTTCATTTTGACTTCGTTACAATATTAAGATGAAAAAATATAAATGTTTTTATTTTGTAATACATAACCTAATGTTATATATCACAGGCATAGTTTATTAACATTCTGAAGTTTGAAGAAACTATATATATAGCTCCTCATTTGTGGTCGATGATGAGCACATCTGTCATATGTAGTCCAATCCTTGCTTTAAAAAGCTGGCCACATACAAAGCAAGGATAATTTGGGTCTAATGCAGATATGCCTTCTTTTCTCAGCCTTTTGTTCTGTGTTCTTGCTGGCCTCACTCCTTGCTTTGTATCTTGAGACACAGAAACTTTTTTTCATGTTATTAAGAGCAGTTTTCCAGCCTTGAATTTCCATCTCACACTCCTTGTAAGCGCTCAAATGGTATTGTTCTAACTCTCTGGATAAAGCTATTTAATTTTTTATTGAGAACAGGCATTCCTTAATTTTAAAACTTCTATTATATGTATCTAATGACCATGCAGTTATATATCTGAAAAACTTAACAAAATCTTTAAGCTTTAATCATTTTCATATGATACATATATAAATTGGAGAAATTTTGTAAAATAAGAACTTTTATCATTTTTTTAGTCTTTTCATTTTTCTTTCTTTCCTATTTTCTTTTTAAATAAGTATGTTTTTATTATTTTCTAGTTTGTCAAATTACTGTTTAACACAAACTTAGTACTTCTTCACCTTCATCTATCCCTCTGTTTGACCATTGGGGCACCACACAAGATCTGTGAACTACCTTTCTACATTCCTCTCTGTCCTTTGCCTTGGATAGAATTTTATTCACCGACAAGCCTGCCATCGGTTTCTCTGTCTTCTTCTTCCTGGTACTCTTCCCTGAAGGAATGTTTTTGTGAGCCCTGAGGACCTTGTAATCTTGCCATAGTGTTTGAGTTTACATTTTTTGACAGTGCTTAGCAGGTCATCTTTGGGTCCAATTGCTGTATTAATTCTGTTTCTAATCTCTTCATTCGTGATGCAGTCTTTGTAAGTGACACCTAGGATCTTTCTGTAGCATCTTAGTTCCAATTTTAGGATCCTTCTCTTGAGATCTGCAGTTAGCGTCCAAGATTCGCATTCATTCTCTCCAGATTGTTTTGAGTTTTACAAGTACTGCTGTAGACAGCAATTCTGGCCAGTACAGGTTTGGTTCCCTCATCTGAGACAATGGCTCCAAGGTATTTAAAGCTACTGACACTTGTCAGCTTTTTGCCACCAATGCTGATGTGCCTTTTATAGCCCTGTCTTCTATTGGTCATAATGTGTTTTTTCAGCATTGATTTGCATTCCATATTCTGCATAAGTCTTGTCTATGTGCTTCACCAAGTCAGCTGATTCTTTTTCTGTCCCTAATAGTTCTATAACAAGTAAATGACCACAAAATTTATTGAAAAAGATCAGTTAGAAGATTCACTTATTTCTATGAAAAGTTTAAAAAATCAAATTCAATGTTTTCATAAAATATTTTGATGTTTTTTAAACAAAAATGAGAAAGCATAGTAGTTTGTAATAAGTTACTAGTTAAAATAAATGGCTTGCCACTTTTTTTTTTAAAGAAAGTGTTTAAGAAATTATACTTAATGTTGGACATTTTTGTTTAAAAAACATTATTGAAAATATAAATTTAATGAGCATATTGAAAATAATATTTTTACTTGTTTTACATTACAAGTTCTCATAGACATGATATATAGTAATCATTAAAACAATCTGTTTTGTCATTTTGTATTTCAGTTTTATAAATAATAAAGCCCCTTTTTTTAAGTTACCCAAAATCTTACTTTTAGAGACAACAAGGTTGCTAATTATTACCACTGTATTTTAGAAATTACTTTGGAGAAATAGTTTGAAGTATTAAAGATGGTTTATGCATTTAATACATTTTACTATCTTGCAGCATATCAGTAACAATGATTGTAAACATGTTATATTTATTTCAATATTGAATAAATGCTAAATATTTTTTTTTTTTTAAATTGCAAAACGTGTTTTTCCATTGCTTATTAGGATAAATGTAACACAAAAAAAAATGTATATGCCATTATATGAAAACAAATTTTATAACTTGTACCTTGGTAACCCTGTCAGTTCTGTAAATTTGGAAAGGAATGGTTTTAATAAATTGTAAAATTATTATAACTTTTAAAATGTTACTCTTTCTTGAATTATGTACTTTTTAAAAAATTAGTTAGCAACTCCTAACAACGTCAGTGGGAACATATGCAGCAACTGTATTTACAATTGTAGCGAACAGTTTTATTAATACTTGAATCGATTTGTTTTTCATTTTAAAAGTACTTTTTCAGAGTTGCCTACAAGTACGCATCGCGTATTTTGTACGCAAATTGACACGAAAATACGCATTTCCCCATCTACGAAAAAAAAAGTATTTTGCTAATCCTATTTAGATCAGTGCATCAATGCCTGGAAATAGACTATTCTTAATCTACCACTAGATAGATCGCTTAGTAGGATTTAAATGTTTACTAGATTGTAACTAGATTTAGACCTTACTGATCAAAATAAAGCGGAGTTCTTTTCGATGTGTCAGTTTATATGAAGTCTCCAAACTGATTGAGAATTAATTGATTGAGTAGTTCCTAGTTATCTAGACCGTATCCAGATCCAGAGGCGTAGCAAAGTACCCGTGGGCCCGGGTTCATGATTATCCTGGTGGGCCCCCCTCCCATAAAAAGACAAATGTGTGTGACCAAAAAAAAAAAGTAACCCGAATGTACCGATACACTTACCAATGCAAATAGAGCTTTTTATATATAAGTAATAATGCCAGTGCGTTAGAATTCCTAATATTGTCTTCAATGACTAAATGTTTCAAATGGACAGACAAATGTTTTATGAGTTCTATCTCCCATTATACGAATTTACATTTAGAGTATACTTCTAGGTGTAAAACTATTAAACATTGATTAAACTATTATCTATTTCGATTTCTATGTCCATTATTTAACAGTAAATGGATGTAACATTTAATTACCGGTATTTAAGTTTTTCTGGCCTTTTAAGTAGCCAAGCCAGAAACAAGTTCATTTAATTCTACAGTAAACATAATGCTTGAGCGCTTATTTTGGTGAAACACTGCCCGAAGGCCATGATATGATCCACTTATATTGGAAGCACCATCATAGCTTTAGCCTCGCAGTTTAGTTAACAATGATTGGGGATTATTCATTACATAGAGCATTTGTTTAGCTAATTCAGCAGTATTCTGGTTCTTACAAAAAAGAAAATGTAGAATTTTGAGATCTTTATGGTCATCCAGCTCTAATGGGATAAAGGCGGTTGGTTGTTGTGCTAGCCACATGACACCCTCGTTAACCGTTGGCCAAAGAAACAGATTACCTTTATATCATCTGTCCATAGATCGGAAGGTCTGAAAGGCGATTTTTTTTATTTGTGACTCTCTGAGTGCTATTTCTTTGGGAATATCAACTTTTGATAGGGGCCTATGTCTTTAGTGCTGTCACCAATGAAAGAGAAAAATGGCGTGGATTGGATTTCCTTTAGTACCGGTATTTTTTGCCAGAACAACTTTGTCCAAAAGGTCTATTATCTCATTTATAATCTGTGCGGCAATATAGGCCTAAATGCGTTAACTTTATTAGAACTATGCACCAAGTTTTAACTAAATACTAAGCATTTGTCAGAGTATTCCGACATTACTCCATGATCAATTGAGTCATCTCTCTATCTTCTAGATCTTTGTTCTAAACCTGCTCTACTAATTGGTTTCTCCATTCATTGCAAAAGCACGTACAAAATTCAACTTTAACGATTTCAATCAAGTTTCTTTTGCTCGCTAAATATTAAATTAAAGTTTATAGCTTTGAAAAAGTTGAATAATTACCAGATGTGTCCAAATTTTAAATAATGACTACCAGCACCATCCCTATAGACCTAATAGTCATTGTCACCTCATCATTTTTTCTTTTAAAAAAAATATCTTACCTTTTCTCTCCCGATTCCTGTGATAGGGCTACTATCCATGATTTTACGAACATACAGTGAAAAAAAGAATGTGACGATCTGGAAACCATTGTCAGCACAAACGCTAATCACTATTACAATAAACCTGATCCAAAATATTTAGGACATTTTCGGGGATCTTTTGAGATTCTATATTTTTAGATCGGTTTTAACATGAGTGCTTTTTTTTCCCTCTTTGTTGTCATCCCCAAATTCTCTTGTGGGCCCCAACTGGTCATGAGTCATAGGCCCAAGCGCAATTAACCCCTTCCAACCACTACTGCTACACCACACCCCTAATGGTCGTGGGCCCGTGTTCATTGAACCCCTTCGCGCCACGAATGCTACGCCACTGCCAGTGGCGTAGCAAGGTACCCATGGGCCCGGGTTCAAGAATATGTTGATGGGCCCCCTTCCGCCAATATGACACATAGTTTGTGTGACAAAGAAATCCAGTAGGCGGTATGTATCAGTACATTTACCAAAAGACATTCCAATGCAAGTTCAATAACGCAGCTGACAGAAACATTGAAGACCATGTTTAAGTACTGTTTAGCAAAGTAAACCTAATGTGCAAGTGGCTGCTTTTGCTGCAACAATAAATGAAGGCTATTTAGTGGTTTATCTAGGGTGAGGGGTGATGAGAGGCCCCAAATGAGTGTC